GCGCTGCGTCGTAGCCATGTGTTTCATGGGCTCCACAAAGGTGTGGGAACTACTATACAATCCCATGTACAAATCTTAACACGCCAAGAAGAGGTAGCTTAGCGGAATGCCTCGCCGTCCACGAGGGCCGTTTCCCATAGCTTCCAGGTCGTCAGCGTAGAGGAGGAGGTCTAGCGGAAAGTCTGGGCCCAGGAGGTGGTAGGTTGGCCTGAGCCCACATGCCGCGATGCGGGTCCACCAATAGCTAGCGCGGGAAAGGCCAAAGGTTCCCACCAGGTTCACGTAGACCGTTTGGCTAGCGGGGTCACCAGGGACCTGCTCCTTGGTATCGACCTGGCAAGCCAGATAGCCATGTTCCTTAGCGGCGTGCTTGTAGCGGCGGTGGGCCTTAGCAATGTCGCCCACAACGGAGAAAGCAGTCTCGCCTTCCTCCTCGTGCTCCCTTAGCAAATGCTTCTTTTCTCTAGCGCCAGGTGATCGTAGCTTGTCCCGGCATTTGATCCGATGGTTAACGCGCACCCCGTGGGTAGCGTCGTGGATGATCCTCTTCTTGTCTAGCTCCTCATCTTCCACGATGACGGCTAGCGCGGCTATAGCGGTGTGCTCCCCGTAGCGTTCCAGGAACTCTCCCATGGACATCTTAGCCATGAGCCCCTCGCTCACATCCTCCTCGAACTTGGCTCTAGCGAAGTCCGCGTGCTCTTCAACGGAGGCGTAGTTGGGAACCCAAGCTAGCGAGGCCTCCCAGGGGAGTTCTCTAGCGGCCATTTCAGCTGCTCCTCGAAGACGTGTGGTGTCCTCGGTAGCGGGTCCAGTACTCCCACCGCTAGCCCCTCCTCAGCTTGTCGGAGGAAGTCCCTATCGGGGTCACCAGCGGCTTCCAGCATAGCGCGAAGTAGCCGAAGGTGTAGAGGTTGCCCCGGGGCCACGTCTAGCAACCCGGTTTCCCCCAAGTCCTGGGCCTGTAGCCAGTCCTTCCAAAGGTCACGTAGCCCAGCACCCGGTGCTGATAAGAAGTTGACGAGAAGCTTACAATCTTATTGGGTCTTCGCTCTGCAAGTTCGCATAGCCGCGGCAAAGCCATGCTGGCAGACGTTGGCCGGGTATGCGTGGCGGACTCTGCGAGTTGACAGACTTCACCTCCTGAGCAAATTTGTTCTGGCTCTGCACAGGATGAACGTTTCTAAACCAGACTGTAGTCTGTAAAAATCTTGCGACTGCGCACCAGACTTGACTGCAATGCTTTGTTCTTTGCTCAGGATGCTCGTCAAACCACATAATCCTTGTGCATGCTTCTAGTGCAACCCAAAACATTGTGGAAGCGGTCCTGTCTTCGATAGGACTGCACCAGTGCCCGTCTGGCATTGGTAGTTGGGACACGTCGGGTAGCTTTGTGACTGGCTTCTTTCTTTGCAGGGCAACAAAGCCTTGCTGCTCCGTCAACTGTCTGATGCAGTTTACAAGGTCTCCTGCAAACAGCTGTCTGCAAGATGCCAAAGAATCTTACATGGTTTCAACAATCATGCTGGTCTGCAGGATGCCACTTCTCTTTCTCTCTGTCAGCACTGCTTTGGCTTTCTTGTTGTCCTGGGGACTTTAGGTTGCCGTGCATGCCCGTTGAAGTTTGTCGACTCCTCATTGCCTCAAGACTTTACTCTAGCTGGTCCAGCTTCAAGCTCTTGTGCAACAGTCTGCCCTCGTCGCTTGGAAGGGTGGGCAGACTTCCGTAGAGGTGCCCCCGCTGTTGCAGATGCGTAGTTAGGGCTGTTGATCGGTAGCTTTGTACAGTTTGACCGAGAAGTCGCGTGCTCTTTCCGACGCTTCAGAAGAAAGATCTGGCTTCTTTAGGTGTTATTGATCCTTTGAGATTGTTTTGCCTTGAACTTGAGTTGCGAACTGTGTTTTGTTGAACCTTGAGAGTTGTTTTTAACTTGCCTTTGAGGCCAGCCACACAAAAAAAGAGCTATCGTCCGCACATGCCGAGCAAGTACAGCCATCTCTGTGAAGCAGATGTCTCGCAAGCTTGTCGGCCCCATTTCCAAGCAGCACCTCCAAGCTCAGAGCTAGTTACCATGGAGGTTTCCGTCGCCACGTCTTCGAGCAGCTTCCGCCCCCCAAAACCAGCCCTTTATTTGGTAGTTGTTGCCAGGTGAAGCCGATCCACATCTCAAAATCCAAGTTGGCAAGCTGTTCCTAAACTTCGAAATTTAGCGAAGATCCGGCATGCCTTCGATGTTCAGGGTAAGGGGTTACGGTTCCCAATGCCAAGCCAAACTTTCTTTCTGATCCTGCGAACCTTCGAGGAAGAGTGTGCTTTTTGCGGAGTGTGTAGTGCCTTCTTGTAGGAGCAAAAGCATTAGACATGGAGGTTACCTTTCGTCCTTGGTGCTCGAGTCTCGTGTCCGCATGCATTTTGACAGAAAGCTCTGCTCGAGACGTCATTGTTGGACATCTTGTCATGCACCCTGCTTGCGCAGCCCAATGTAAGAGCGTCTGCACAGAGAACGATGATTGTTGGTTCATGGTTCCAGCTGCCAATTAGATGCTCAGCCCACCTGCCGGGCCCGGAATTGCGGAGTTCTGGCCTCAATTTTTCAGACCTCTGAGCGTAGAGTTGTCAACCCCAGCCTCGGTGATCAGGCCGGAGACGCCTTAAGCGCGCCATGGTGGTCTTGAGAATCTTGGTCTGCGCATTAGGGTTTACGCTCTCTATGTATGGCAAACACAATCGATAACGGCGGCTTTTCGATACGCTGCAGCAGCTGCTGCCGCTTCTGTGCTGCTTTGGGGCATTTGTGTGGGAGCCCAAAGACGACCGATTCGAGAAAACCCCACTCTTATCATGAATCCTTCGCACCATTGGCACACTTCTATCTGACCAAATTAAATGGATCGTCTTGCTGCCAATCCAGCCAGTCTGAGTGCAGCCAGGTAGGGCTTTGCATGATGTTGGGTCAAACTTGCGGGGTAATATTTTCGAAGTTGCCATGACTCCGATAGGGGCACTGTTTCACACCTGGACCAAGACCGAATTCTTGGCATGTGCAGCAATGGCAACAAGATAAAGACCCAGTGCCTGTATGCGTCGCTGAGGATTACCCGTCTTGTGGCCGACGATATGGCCACTGCTGCTGCTCCAGGCGTCTTCCTTTGGCTGAACATGCTGCAGCATTTTCGACACAAAACCGGAAACCAAGAATCTTACACTGTAGACGTTACTCCAGAGCCTTTCGGGAAGCATCGGGGTAAGACGACTTGGCAGCTTCTTAACACTAAACAACCTAAACCTTAAGCTCTGAACCCTGAATCCTAATCCTGAGCTCTAAACTCTGAACCCTGAACCCCCAACCCTAAACCCTCAAGCCTGAACCTTAAACCCTAAACCTACCCTTAACCGCAAACCGCCACCTCAGCCTCAGCAACAAACTTGAAGTGATCTGCCGTCCTCCAGACCTCGGACCTTCGGCTAGGGGGGGGGGGTTCAGGGTTTATGGTTTCTGAGGGCTTCAAGGGTTCAAGCGGGTTCTTACGGGCTTCTAAGAGCTTTCAGGGCTCCGAGGGTTCTAGATGCTTTTTGGTTCTTTTGGTCGGTTTCTGTATGAGGGTTGTGTATGGGCTCTATCTGGTTTCTAGAAGTGTCTTACATATCTTGTGAGGCCCCTTGTGGGTCTGAAGTTTAGGGCGAGTTTGGGGTTCCTCTCTGAAACACTCCCCGGATTCTGAGGCCATGGTCAAGAGCACCAAAAAAGAGGATTCGCCAGCAGAGCCAAGCTTGAAGCCCTTCACCACGGTTCGAGGTCCACACTCCTAAGGGACCCTAAGTGTGAGGTAGGTAGGTAGGTGTGTGTGTGTGTGTGTGTGTGTGTGTGTGTGTGTGTGTGGGGTGTGGTGTGTGGGCAGGTGAGCTGCAAGACACCCTCATGTGCCACGGAGAACGAGAGGTACTCTGATCCAGCGGCCACTGGGCTGTCGTTGGGTTTGGCAGTCAATCCTAAACCACACCTGCACGCTTAGTGCTGCTATATGGAGGCCCTCAGGCCAAAACCCAAACATATCCCATGTCTCGAATGAGTAGCTCTTCTCAGTCCCGTCGTCGCGTTCCTTACTGAAGTGGCTGCAATGATGGATGGCGGATGGCAGAGTCACTATCGACCCCCACCGCAAGCCAGCACTGATGACCAGGTCATGTTCAGGGTGATTATGATGGCCATACTGATGTGACAATGTTGATAGCCATAGTGATGCTGCCAATGATGATGATGATGATGACGATGATGATGATGCTGATGATGGTCATGAAGGGGGGATTATGATCATGACGATGATTATGGCGACGATGATGGTGGTGCTGATGGTGGTGCTGATATTACATGTGTCATGTCTTCATGGGCTGCAGCCCCATTTTCTATAACTTCGCAGATTTGTTCATGTTTTTCGTTAGAATTGTCATTGACCATGTTGTGCGATGCGGCAGAGCTGCATTCGTGTAGTTAATGCTTTCGGTTTTGCTGCCACCTCCGCTAACGTGTCGAGCATGCAAAGCCGGAGAGCCAAGGTTTTGCTTCCGCACAGTCACGAAAAGACTGCAGCTGACTGTCAGCAGAGATGTGCGGAAAACCGGCGGGACCCTCAGAGAAAGAGTTGTCTTCGACATCGTGGGGCTGTGGCGGTCTCAGGATCAAGAATCAAGAGGTTCAAGCTGCGGTTGGCTCTCTCAGTGTTGTTCAGGTGGCTGCTTCAGATAGTATGTGAGCCTGTAGGGCTTTCCTCTGACATGCCTCGTTCAAAGAAGGTACGAACATGCTTGGGTTCAACATCCGAACCCCGAACCAGCCTAGAAGTAGAAGGACGTGGTTCTTCAAGTGTGGCTCCCTGCTTGGGTCCTTGTTTTTTGGCTGCCCAAAGAAGCCCTCAATCAGAACCCTCAAGCACTAAACCGTTGAACCTTCAACCCAGAATCGAAAGCTCTGACCGTAACCATAGCGCGAAATCCTAAACCCAAAATCACCGAAACCCCTAAGTCCCCAAACCACTACACTACAAGCCCCCCTGCACCCCTAAACCCTACACCTCAAAGCCCCTCAACCCCTAAACCCTAAACTCTAAAGGCCCTTAACCCTACACACCTAAACCCAAAATCACTAAACCCTGAATCCTTTAAGCTCCTTCATTACCCTTATCATCCCCTAAACGAACCTTGATAGACCCCTTACATAGAGAAACTCTCACAGGAACCCTAACCTACCCCCAGGAACCCTAACCTACCCACAGGAACCCTAACCTACCCCCTCCTACGTAAGGGCCTGCCAGAAGTTCAGCTTCGACAAACTCTCTTTGCCTCCAGCACAGACGGTAAGGTTTTCGGGTTTAGGGACTTTTGAATAAGGGTGTTGGGTTTTGGGGGGTTATTTTCTGGAAGAGTTACTATTGTTTAAGGGTTCCTGTAAGGCACGGGCCGCATAGGGTGCCGTGCTTCTACCGGTTTGCTGGACGTTTCGGATGATTCCATGGCATGAGCGATCTTGCCACTGTATACAACATACGGCAGAAGGGTGTTTGACGTTGACGCACGGTCAAAGGCGTGAAGGCCGCTGAGCTTTTCGCCACTTTACAGTACACAACGTACCGCCAAAGGATGTTTCACATTTCTGGCATAAGATACACTGCCACATGCGTTGAGGCCTTGTGCGAACCCAGGCATTTACAGCGGTTCTGCGTCTTTGCACAAGACAGAGGCACCAAAATGGTGATGGGGATTATGAAGAAGA